AACTCAGAAGAGCTACCTCCTCTGGACAAGACTACATCTACACCTTGTGGACAAAGGACATTCTTTTGAGGACCAGAATGTTCACATTCTGGACAAAGAAAATAGGTGGTTTGAGAGAGGCATGAAGGAAGCCATCTATGTTAAGAAGGAAAAAAACAACCTTAAACAGAGGGGATGGACTCAGGTTCCAGCTTCCTAAAACTTACAATACAGCGATTGAGTTAATCCGTTCCCGTTACCATGGCAGCCCCAATCCCTGCACAGGAGAGTGGAGGACCTCTTCTATTCAGGCAGTCCAACAATCCTCTATAGCACTCTATAACACCTCAAACTCAACGCTATTCCTGTCATTTTGAATTGAAAAAACTTCCTGGATGGGAAGTGAAACGTCTTCAAACTCGGAAACCTATTCCAGTGGATTGCTTTTAATCTTTTTGGTATGTCTATTCATCTTTATATGTTAGATAAAAACTAAATATTGAACATTATTTCACTTTTGTCTTTACAACAATGGGAATACTGTTTTGTTTGTATTATATTTCACTGTAACAATACTTATAGACAGGAAAAAAACACAAAGGAGAGAAACAATCTTCTCAAACATAGATGACTGACTCCTATATTTCAGCTAGGTTTATACTTATAATTTATATGTATAATAGGTCCCAAATATGCTTTGCTTTAGATATTAATCAGCCTTTCTGGTATTAGGTAGGATAACAAGTTAGTGTGAAGTTGAGGAGGAAGCTGAGACTCTTGCAAGAGAATGTTCAAATTTATTTAACGTCCTCAGACGGAGAGATAGAGCTCCGATTGAGGTAACCTCAGTACATACATTTATACCTTACAAAATCCCAACACACATAGGGCCGGATCTATCAAAGGTTTGCGTGTATAAAAACGTGAGCTATTTCACTGCGCACGCTAAAAAATGTACAAACTGATCTATCAACAGCGTGCTAAAAGGATTTGGTCTTTAAGACGTGCTAAATAGCGCCTCTTATCCATTTAGTACTTTTTCTGCAATGAATATGCAATATGGGGCGTTTACACGCAAAAGTGCGTCTTGTGGGAGGAGAACATGTAAATATATTAATTTAGCACTCGCAAAGTGATTTATCAAACCTGAACGCAATTTTGCTAACGGTATCTGACTCTATATTTAACACGTTTCAAAAGAAGGTGCAAATGGTCTGTATGCGTAATTGCGCACACATGGCAGCGGTTATTGTCGCAAGAAGGAGACATGGAAATAAAGCAAGGAGACGCAGAGAACGCATTTTTTCACTCCGTGTGAATATTTTTGCAATGAACGAGGAAACGATCATCAAAACATATCGTTTATCCAGCATTGCCATTTTGGAGCTGTTGGGGGAACTCCGAATGGATTTGGAGCCAGCCACAAGGAGGACCCACGCAATACCAGATATCACAAAACTCCTTGCAACATTGCACTTTTTTGCATCTGGGTCATTCCAGCGTACGGTTGCAGCGAGAGCTGGGATCTCCCAATCTCGTTTTTTTCAGAAGTGCTGTCCGACGGGGTCGGGGTTCTCCCCCTGCGCCTGTGGAGCAACGTACCAAATGCTGCGGGGATCTCATCCACAGTCACAGGCCAATACAAAACACCTGTTTTTTTTTGTTTTTTTTACTGCAGCACATACCACCTTAGGGAATAAAGGTTGCCAATTTATATACATATATATATATATATATATATATATATATATATATATATTTACTTATTTATTTTTTTTTGTTGGGGGTCACTGTAAGATTTAAATTTCTTAATGCACTAGTTTGTACAGACTACAAACTACTTTGCCGCAAACCACAAAACGCGCAAAACCATCATTTAAATAGGGCGTCTCCAACAGTTTTGCACCTTCCACCAGTTACGCAATCGCTCTTGTTAAATCACCCGCAAACCATGGTTCAGCCCCTCGCGCAAAATTCCAGTTTGCGAGCGCAAATTACTGCACGCAAAATTGGATCTTGATAAATCCAGCCCATAGTCTCCCTTGGAACTATCCCACCCCTACACAAAGAACTTTCTCACATTTGGTTATTTACAAGTAAAAAACACTTCAATTAATCAAGGACAAAAATTATAGCTTGATAAACACTCAGAATAGGTCTCCCATGAAGGAGGCTGTGTGACCTCATTCTTATCTCTCATGAATCTTCCCTTCACCCTTGTCTAGAGTAGGGAGGAAAGTGCTTTCTGTCATCCCCACTCTTGACTTCATAACTTAACTCCAGCACACAGACTGGTACAAAACTTCTAAACAATCACCCTTATTTAGGCAGAGGAAAGACACACTCAAAATATTCTATTTCACAAATAGGCCAAGGAAAAATATGCTTCCACATTTGCTAAAGATTTTTTTTTCCCCGAGTCTGTTTATTGTCTTTTACATATCAGAGACATACAGACAGATAACTCACAAGTGCACAAAACACCTAACAAAACCAAAAGAAAACACATTAACAAATTAAACATTCAAGGCAACAAGCATTTGTAAATTACAGTGAGACAAAATATTTTAAGTTTGTTATCTTAGGGGTGTATTTTGAGACTTAGTCCAAGAGATTTAACCACAGTCCACAAGCTAGGTATGAAGTGATGGCATCGTCCTCCCTGGTTTTAGGCATCCGGACATCAGTGTTTTAGTTTCATAAATTTTTTAAACAAGTGAGTACATTTGGAATTAACATGAAGATAACAAACTTACAGCCACTATAAGAATAAAGACATAAGCAAAATTAGCCAGAGTACATTCAGTCAATCCTCATGAGTATTCAACTTTTCCAAGAATAGCAAAAACTTTTCCCATATCTTTTTGAACACATAGGGCCGGATTTATCAAGATCCAATTTTGCGTGCAGTAATTTGCGCTCGCAAAGTGGAATTTTGCGCGAGGGGCTGAACCATGGTTTGCGGGTGATTTAACAAGAGCGATTGCGTAACTGGTGGCAGGCGCAAAACTGTTGGAGACGCCCTATTTAAATGATGGTTTTGCGCGTTTTGTGGTTTGCGGCAAAGTAGTTTGTAGTTTGTGCAAACTAGTGCATTGAGAAATTTAAATCTTACAGTGACACCACCCCCTCCAAAAAAAGAAATATATATATATATATATATATATATAAACTTTGGCAACCTTTATTCCCTAAGGTGGTATGTGGCTGAATTTCTACTTCACCGCAGTAAGAAAAAAACACACAAACAAAAATAAAACAGGTGTTTTTTATCGGCCTGTAGAAAAATGCACATACCAAATGGCTCACAAGAAGTGACTGTGGATAAGATGACTGCATTGGCATGTTGCTCCACAGGCGCAGGGTGTCGGGGTTCTCCGGTAGGGCGTCAGGGCGACATGGCATTTAGAACGTCGGACAGCACTTCTGAAAAACGAGATTGGGAGATCCCAGATGCAAAAAAGTGCAATGTTGCAAGGAGTTTCGTGATATCTGGTATTGCGTGGGTCCTCCTTGTGCCTGGCTCCAAATCCATTCGGAGTTCCCCCAACAGCTCCAAAATGGCAATGCTGGATAAACGATATGTTTTGATGATCGTTTCCTCGTTCATTCCAAAAATATTCACACGGAGTGAAAAAATGCGTTCTCTGCGTCTCCTTGCTTCATTTCCATGTCTCCTTCTTGCGACAGTAACCGCTGCCATGTGTGCGCAATTACGCATACAGACCATTTGCACCTTCTTTTGAAAGGTGTTAAATATAGAGTCAGATACCGTTAGCAAAATTGCTTTCAGGTTTGATAAATCACTTTGCGAGTGCTAAATTAATATATTTACATGTTCTCCTCCCACAAGACGCACTTTTGCGTGTAAACGCCCCATATTGAATATTCATTGCAGAAAAAGTACTAAATGGATAAGAGACGCTATTTAGCACGTTTTAAAGACCAAATCCTTTTAGCACGCTGTTGATAGATCAGTTTGTACATTTTTTTGCGTGCGCAGTGAAATAGCTCACGTTTTAATACACGCAAACCTTTGATAAATCCGGCCCATATAGTATTTATCCTTATTCATAAAGGTGAGTTTCTCCAGGGCTAGAGAGCTTGATAGTGTAGACATCCAAGTCTGGTTACAGATTTCCAGGACCTGGCTATACTATATTTAGCCTGCACCAAACAATAAATTATGGACTTTTGATCAACCGTGCTTATTTAAGTTTGAGTGGGAAAAATTCCTAAGACACACAACCTAGGACAGAGATTAGTTAAAGATTTTTTGGTTGTAAAATTCAGTCTGATTTATTGTCAGAAAATAAGGAAGTACACATTGACCTGCCAAACAATTCAAAAAAAACTATTTTGTATTATTTCCATAAAATATTTAGCAAATTTGGTTTTTAAGCAAAGGTAGAATAAGATGTTAAAGGTGGTCTACAGTAAGAGTGTCTGATTGAGGTAAGTAGTTTTATCGCAGTTGAATTCAGCCAGACAAATTATATACAGCAATAAAATGAACTACCGATACATCCAATGTGATTCAATTTGCCTGTTAGCCTTTCAATTATGTTATCGCCTGGGATCTGAGAAGTAGACCTTGTCCACTTATTTAAAATGCACAGCTTTATGATTGAATCCCTAGAAATTTTTCTCTTAATTACACATTTTAAAAACATTCAGCTTAGCTGTGCATTTCCAGCACAGCTAAGCTGATTGCATGTGCAGCAAAAGTTTTAGGTAGGACGTCATTTGCCTTTTCTAGCTTTGTACTGAGGAAATATTATCCTTTCTTGGAGTGCCCTGTCATATGATTCTGGCTACAGCAATGAGTGACAGGCTGTGAAAGCACAAGTATTATTGATATATAAAGTTTGTTTTCCCTAACCTATGTACTCAGAGTTTAATGATTAAAATAACAAAGAATAAAATGAAAATTGCAATTTCATTAAACATGTCATATATATATATATATATATATATATATATATATATATATATATATATATATATATATATATATATATACACACACACACACTATATCAATGTTATATCAATTCTAAGCTGGACAGAAAGTTGCCTATGTGGATTTGTCCCAGATATAGAAACCTGGGTAAAGTGGTACAGAGAATCGTTTCTCAAAGGTGTGCAGATGGGTCAAAGAGTTAGAAGACACTTGGTAGAAGGACAGCGTGCCGCCTGGCCAATCTAGATAAACCCCAATTCTGTTGCATCCAGAAGGACGAGTAGAGGACCATATCTTTTTACTATTGTGCCATACACAATAACTATTGCTGTAAACACCAAAATACCAGGAGATATCATTATATCCAAACCCAGTGTGCAGGCCATTTCCGTTTCTTGGAACGCCTTCATATGCAAGACCAACGCCAATACCTTTAGTAGTTTCATTGCTCCACATAACTTCAAAGTAATGACAGCCTTTAAGACCCTCTCAGCAGAGAACCTGGGGGTATCGATTAAACCTCTTCTCTGTTTTAGGATATTGCTGCCAGGGTCCACATGTTGCAGAACGAGGTTCCCATTCACAGTTTCTGGGTCCAATGTGAGATCACAGTAGTCTGTTAGATAAAAATAACACATAAATAAATAACAAACTTATTTCCAAAATCAAAACTGGAAAATTCTTATACAATTGAAACTTATCTTTATGAGTCTTTGGCAAAAAATCAACTGCTCCTGTCTGAGTTCAGGTAGGATTACACAAATGATTAATGTTTGATAAACTGCATGACTATACAATAGGGGCTATTGCTTTTAAAACTGCTGCAGTTTATAATGTCTTGAGTGCTGTACTGAATGAAATTTCTTTTTTCATACAGTCTGTGTGTACAAAATGAGAATAAAGTCTGTCTAGGTTTAAGTCTAAAAGTCTCATCGTCAAGTTTTGATTACAATACCTAACATTGTAGTTTAGTCTTTAAACTTCAATTTAAAAACAAAACGCCTTCAAATCAGAACTTCCTGGGTTTGACTTTCTAAATAACCTTCAGAGTGGCTGGGACTGTAATTTTATTCTACCAGCAACTTGTATCACACCAACTGCTAACTAGCACTTGGATAGAATATTTGTGTAAAGCGTGAAAAAGATGCATGTAAATATGGACTTACACCACATTAAGTCTTTTTTCTCCATAACATTTTTTACTCTATGAATAACAGGCTTTGAGAAGTCTTCGGTTTGCTTGACACCTTCCCTGTAATGGTAGATGGTTGCTCCATTGAACTCCTTGTTTGGCAGCGCTGCTACGAGGAAGCAATATCTGCTGTTGCTTTTCAAGTTTTTAGCAGTTTCTGAGATCATGTTGGCTTTCTGTTTCATGTTTTCCAAGACCTTATCTGAGAAGAACCACTGGTCCTTGGATGGTGGAGTCACACTGGATGGAGTTTCTTTAAAGTAATTGACCATCTGGTCCATGTAGGAATCATGAGTTTCAATGGAGGTGAAGACAAAGCAAAGGGCATCTTCTACACCAAGAACATTTCTATCCAAGTCAGACTTCTCTGGGATCATCTTAATTCCCTTCATAATGTCTAAACAGGATGCAATGACATTGATCTCTCTGTCTAAATAATCGAGCCACTTGTCTAAGTTCATCTGGCTGAATGGAGACTTATCCTGCTCATCAAGGAAGCTTTGTAGGGATTCTTCTTCTTCCTCACCCTCCCGAATGAGGGGAATTTTCTCCTGCATGATCTGTTGGACTTTTTTCTTGTAGTCTTCAGTGAGATGTTGGAAACATTTCAGCTTTTTGTGCATCTGTGGAAAAGTCTTCACCAGACCTTTTTCCAGTGTCTCATTGCATCTCAGCTGAATTTCTCTGATACTTTTCAGAACATTATCGACTTTTCTGATCAAACCATCAGAAAGGTTTCCCTTTAGCTCAGCTGCAGCGGGATCCAGATTCTTCAGGGGAGTCAGCCAAGCTTTAACAGGAACTGATTTCTCTCCATTGTTTCCAAGAAGCTCTGGGAGCTTTCTGTAGGTATCTACCGCCTCCTCAAAGGTTGTAGGATTCTTCTCCAGAATGAAATCTCCAAAGAATTTGCAGGTGAAATTTCCAATAATTTTTTTATCTGCTTCTCTCAAATGTCTGTCCAGTTTTAGTTGAGGACACAATTTTGGGATCTTCTTTATTGAACTTCGCATGCTTGTCTCCATGCTGTGCACAGTGCTGCTGTCTAACTTCTCGCTGTCAAACACAAAGAAAGCATTGGCCCCATAAAGGATGCCTGTGACAACATGTGTTGCATTGCTGTTCCGGATGACCTCTTCTATTTGCAGTTTCTTGGCGTCCTGATGATTTAGTTCCAGTCGTTCATAAGCAGTTGTGGCTCTGTACTGATGTATAACTCTGCTCTGGTTCTTGAACTCCTTATCATCAAGCAAGTAGTTGGCAGCTCCTCCAACTTCAACCAGACCACTAAGAAAACTGACTATGAGAGACGCATCAGCCTTCAGCAGAGAAGCCTTTTCGTCAATGGAGTCTGAGACAGTAGTTTCACAGAAAGTGCCATTTTGAGTTTTTTTTATCTTGTACTTTTGAATAGTTTCTCTGTCCCATAGAGAAAAATCTGTATGAAATGAAATAAATGAGTTAATTTCCAAAAAATATTTCTTATATTTCTACTTTTATGAATGAGAAGTAAGTGAACAGATTTAGTTTGTTTAACGAAGTTGTGGCCAATACGGATTTATTCTCAGCAATATCTAGAATATTAAATAAAATCCACTCCTAAAGTGAAAAATCTCCACCAAAATGAAAATATATTGCAGTATAAGTTTTTGAACCTTCACTTTTCACTTTGGGACACTTCAATTAAAAAAAGGCAGTTATGGGAATAAAATAAACAACTTCATAATGCCTTTTTTTTGGTAAGAACTAACAAAGCAATTAATTTGTCCATTGTTACAAAATCATTACTAGCTCCTGTTTCTACCCTCCTTAGGTTGTGGTCAGACCATGGGATAAGGTGGCTTAAACCAATGCAGGGCTGCTGAGTGGCTGGGGAAGAGTAAAGTAGCAGTTATAAAATATATAGAGGAGGACTTGGATAGGTGTTCACAAATAAGCACATCTGTACAGTACGCACAGTTATTGGGACCACAGATAACCAAAGGTTTTATTTTAGTAGGCAGGGGTAAAGATTAGGGGTGGAACGGTTCACAAAATCCACGGTTCGGTTAACGGTTTCGTGGTCACGGTTTTCGGTTTGGTATATATATGTTGATTGTTAGCCTGACATGTTGGTCGTGTTGCTGTTAGCATAAACAAAACGTGTTGCATAATGCTTGCACACTGTTTTTATCCACAACTTTCCTACCCTGTGTTTCCTCTTGCCAGAATAACCTGCCTCAGACTCCCTAGCCACTGCTGCTGTAGATCTGCAAACCATTAGCCGTAGCTTTAATAAATGCTTTTAAGTTATCCCACTGTTATCAGAAGACATGTCTACAACAATTAAGTTCCTGTGTGCATGTGCAGAGTTTATGCTCCTTTGATCTAGAATTGATTATTTTAACAGTGTCTTCACATGTCTGCTAAAAAAAGATTAATCAAACCACTGCAGTTAAACCAAAATGCTGCTGCTTGAGTTGTCACTTGGAACAAAAAGAGCACATCACCCTGTTTTTAAAGTCCTTCCACTGGCTCTTTGTAGCTCATAGAATAGACTTTGAACTTCTTCTATTAGTTTATAAATCGCTGAATGCTTTTGCACCACAATACATTGATAATTAACTATCTTGGTAGCAACCTTCCATACCATTCAGGTCTTCTGGTTCTGTTCTGGTCTACTCTACATCCCCAGAACCAAACATGGAGAAGCAGCTTTCATTATGTATGCTCTATCAATAGGAACAAATTCCCAGAAACTCAAGCTCGAAATTCCTTAAGACAAGGCTGAAGAAGTTATTTGAAAAATTCTGTATTGAATTTGACCACCTAAAAAATTTATACTTTTGGATGATTTAAATGATTTTACTTCATATTTGTTTGTTTTTTTATGAAGTAAAGCACTTTTAATTTTCTCGCCGCTGAAATGTATACATTTTGATTTATTTACTTAGCTAATATGTCCCAATTAAACAAGGGTTAGGTCCTTTATAATAACAAACCAAAAGGAATCCTCCTTACATCTGAAATGTTGGTTAACTGAATATATAAACTGATTTATTCTCATCTTACCAGTTATTAGCTTATCTCTGTAAGCGTCATATAGCATCCCCAATGCGAAAGGTCTACCAAGGGCGGCCACCTCCATTTGATCTGAGGCCATGTCTTCAACCTGAAAGGACACATTCATGAATCAAAAGTGAAGATGTCATATACAAAAATAATAATAATAATAATAAAAAAAAAAAAAAAAAAAAAAAATATATATATATATATATATATATATGACAGAACATTTTGACAGAAAAGGAATTAAGCATTGTTTCTTTTATTACCTGAGGATAGTTTCTTTAGTTGGGCTTATTTAAGTCTTGACTTCTGTGATTTTCAGATTCCACAGCTGTCTTGTTTATATACATAGACGCTCTTCCCACTTACATACCTGTAACTCAGAGGTGGGATCAAGTTGAATACGTTGAAGGCATGCAGGTTCTAATATAGGTTGAATACCTGACACTAGACCATTCACTCCATGAGACTGTTATACAACATAAATTAAAGGTTTTTCTTAGGATCACTGTAATACCGATTGCTAAACAAGATGCATTCAGATTGTAGCCATTAGACTACACAACTCTTTTGGAATCAATTAAGAATTTTTTTTATTGAATTTGACTGCCTAAAGAATAGTAAAGTAGTCATCTTAGACCAACCAGAGACTGACAGTGGTGTACCTAGTGACAAGAAAAACAATGACACCTGGAATGTGAACTGACCTGTCAAAAGTACTAAAAGCAGCACATAGCAGGAAATGATAAGGATCAAGGCACATTCCACCTTCTAACAGACCTTGTAGGCAGTATATGTTTGGAGATATCCTCTCAAAATTTAACCTGCTGTAGACGTGACATACAGTAACACTGAAAACATAACCAGGACTGCATTTGAATGGTTACAATACCCGAAGTTTCCACAGTTCAAAAAGACACGATCGAATCCTTCTGTTTCATGATACGATTTTAAACTAATAAGAAATAATCAACACAAAATCTATATCTAAATGGGTATTGCTATTGCTGCTTATGATGATTGCTGTTGGGATGATAAAAAAGTTTTAGATGATTCCTCATCTTTGTTGCTCTGTCTATAGTGCATTGCAGAAGTATTGCTACACCAAGAACTTTGTTTATAAAATTAGAGAAATGAGTGGACATTGACACTCAGACAATAGTTATTGTGGAGTGTGTGTTGTGTACACAATAATGTGGTCTAAACCCATTAGTGCCACATGTTGTCAGGATCACAGCCCTGGTTGCTGATGTAATAACTCATTGCATTCACCAGCCATTCCCTCTCTATGTTCTAATTATAATTCATCTTATCAACCTGTTTGGTCTGCTTTATTTAGCCCAGGTATCGTGGCCAGATCATTATGTGTGTTTTGTACTTGTGTTAGTTGTTCATGTTTGTTTGGTTTAGAGTTTAGTTAAGTCCCTGGTTATGTCTTGACTCTTAGGGGCCTGTGTGTTGAGAGGGTGTTAGTGTTTGTCCCCTGTATCCTCCTCCTCTCCGTGGAGGCTTCAGGGTTTTAGCTCGGAGTGTGGGGGAGGCCAGTTTTAATTACCATAATCCTGGCTCCTTAGAGGAGTACTTTAAAGTTCTGCAGTTATCCTGGTACCATGTCTTGTCTCTGTACCTCTCAACCACTGAGCCTGCCTGTCTCCATCTGAGCGTGTCTGTCTGAGCCTGCTGCTGGACTCATAGAACTCTGAACCTGCCTGAATGCTCAGTGGATTCCTGGAACCTGTGATCTGTCTGTTCCTGTATGGTTTAGAACCCCTTGGTCAGGCTACGGACTCACTTAAATACTGGGTCCATCTGTCCATATGTGTTGTATTGTTAAAACTAAGAATGGTCTCCCTTATGAAAAGTAAGTAACTTTTATCAACAGGTAATGACCAGAAGCAAGGACCCTGCAACAAAATATAGGCTCATTGCTCTAAGCACTTGCTTGGAGACTCGGGGAGTCTTGTTAAGTCAGGTTTTTTTTTTCCACGTTATGGTATGATAATAGCCCAATCTAGTGATATTTTTGTTCAATTTGATTTCAATACTTTGCAATAAAAATACAAAATAAAAATACAAACAACTTTAAGTAAATTCAGTTTTGTGGCATCTCTGAGATCAAAATGTTCAAATTATTAGTGTATCTTTCTCTAATTGTTAAATCCAACAACTTAATCACCACTGGAATTCAATAGACCAAAATAGGAAAAATAATTAACTAGAGTAAATTCAGTAAAACGTTGTATTTTTAGTTGTGATTTAGTCCTAAGAACAGACTTAAAAGTGTTGATCACTTTTAAGTCATAAAAATTTATACCAAGGAAGGAAGCAGGAAAAGTTGGACTAGATCCGAAACTGTGCTGCGCTCAAGGCTATGATGGTGCCGGCGATATGGAAAGGAGAGTCAATGGTTGTGCTGCTAATTTTTGCAAAGAATCCCCAAGAGTTAAATACTTCCACTGTGTGAGTCTCCAATTAAACTTTTCATTATTAAAGTCATATGCTGTTCTAGAAGTAAAATGTAGGCTTAGGTAGGTATTTTCTTCAAGTATTCACAGAAGAAGCAGCAAAAGTATGAATCTTCAATGTCAGAGATTAACCAGGAGAGGCTTGCAGAACAACTATTGGCAAAGAATAAGATAAAACTAATGTGTGAGACTTGTTAGGTTGAGCGCAACACAAGCCTTGAAGACTGTCATAAACTTTATGAGGCTCTTCTCCATTGTCTTATTGTGATCTCAGAGAATGCAGATTCTGTGTGGCATGCCAAAGCAATAGTTGAAGCCTCTGAACCTCTGCCAACTTCATTGCTGCTTTGCAGTGTAATAGGTACTTCTTTGGAAATCCTCAGGATATCTTTAATGCATATGAAGAGGTCAAACCGGTAACAGACAATGTCCTTCAGCCAACATACAGGCTTCTGTTAAAACAACAAGTTCAGGAGTCTGGGCTGAAAAGGGTTTTGGCAAAGACCCAGAAACAAGAATTCCATGAAGAGAACAAACAGCAAACGCAACCTGATAAACACCAGTTTCAGAGTTGTGAGAATCTGACCTTCAACAGACAACAACAACTCAGGATTTTTCGAAAATACACCAGACAAGGCAGGCCTAGGTGTGCAAACTTCATCTATCACACCTACACAATTGTGAGCTCCTCCATCCTCCATAGCAGGAAGAGGGGTGGCTAATTTAGCACAGTACACCTTTTCACTGTAATATTCAACATCTTATAAAGAGTTTTGCAGCCATCGAGCCGCAGACAATTTACAAGTTAATTTACAAATTACAAGTTCTACAAGATTTCCTGATTGCAGGACAAGATTTGCCCTAGCTATCGGACTCCAAAACTCTTTGAAGAACCAGGATAAAATGCGTTATAATGAGGTTTTATTTCTATTATGTTCAATTAAGAATTTTAAATTGAACTTGACTGCCTATAGAACAGTAAAGTATTCGTCCCAGACTAATCAGAGGCTGAGATGGGTAGGTGTTAACACACAGGCACATACCCACAGCGCTTTAACTAAGGAATGTGAACTTACATGTCAAAAAGATAAGGATCGAGACACATTCCACTTTTCAACAGACCATGCAGAAAGTAGTCTTTTGGAGACATCTCAAAATTTCCATGCTTCAAAATGACACAACTGAATTACTCTGTTTACTGATGTGATTTTTAAAAATAGTAAGAAGTAATCAACTTACACACGCATCAATATTTAACTGGGCATTGCTGTTGCTGCTTATGATAAATGCTGTTGTGATGATAAAATGATTAAGATGATTCCTCATCTTTGTTGCTTTGTGTATAGTGCATTACAGAAGTATTGCTACACCCAGAACTTTTCAACACCTTGTCATGTTACAACCACAGTCTTAAAATGACAAATCAGATGAAGTCATTTTCTCCCCAAAATGTGATGAAAGATATCTTGAATTGTTATTTTTCCCTGGACACAATATAAATATATAAAACATCATTAAGGGCAGTCAAAATTTAGTAAATAATGTTTGTCTATTTTATCATAATTTCTGTAGTTCTATAATGAGTCTGTTTAATGAATTGTCTTCTCAATTCAGAGGGCCCTAAGCCTGTCTTTGCCTAGGGCCCCAAATTTCCTAAATATGCCCCTGCTTCGATTATCTCCTCCGGGTTTCATCTGTTGTGCCGAGAATTACCTACCCAGTCTCGGGAGGGCATCGCCCTAAAATAAGAAAACGGATTGAAATTAGGGTGGCCAGATGTCCGGCCTTAGGGCGGACAGTCCGGTTTTTCATTGCACTGTCCGGCGTCCGGCGCTGCACCCAGCCGGACGTGTATTTGTCCTCCTTTACCCCCAGATTCCACATAGTCCGTCAGCGCTCCGCCCCGCTCACGTACGGAGTACTTGTCTGTCATGTAAATCAATGAGAGCTGTTCCACATCCTCCGCTCGTCACCGCCCACGTACGTCTTCTCCATCCTTCACCGTCAAAATACGGAGCTGAGCTATTTTTTGCTCCCCTCCGGTCCGTCCAGATCAAGACCCGCTATCGGTCTCCGCCAGGTGACGTCAATTGTTTACCTCGGGCGCGGTGCATCGTGGGAAAACCACCATATTAGGCGTAAAGTCGAGATAAGCCACACGCGGCTGTTCTTTCGGCACAATTATTTACCAGAAATGACACGATCGTGTTGTGTGAGAGGCTGCCAGTCCCGGTGTCTTGCCAAGGTAGTTATCCCTGCGAAAATTTGTATCCCCTCGTCGGGAGCGCGCACGGAGTAGGAAGAACAACCCGAGTTAACTCCACTTCAATTCCAACGTGCCGAACTTGAAATTTGAAAGGTTTTACGTGCATGAAAGTTGAGCTTTACTGTTTTATTCTTTACTTCACATGTTATAGCAGAATATCGCCAGTGATATTGATCTAAAACTAATAATAAAACACAAACGTTGGCTTGAAAGCTGGTCGCTGACAGCAGTGTCTACTCCTCCCTCTGAAAGCAAACAGATCCTTGTTCTTTTCCACACGTTCATTAAAAAAATCTCTCATTGTTTCACAGTGTCCAAATGTTCTCATCCCATTGAAAACTGTTGTAAACCGTATACTTGCAATAAAAATGAAATAGAAAATGGAGTGCACGTGTAATCATTAAAGACCATATGCCAGAACTGGCAATATGGGATAAAATAAAACCTGCTGTAATCTGTTCCCCCTGTCTAAATCAGGCAAAAAAGGCCCCAGCTTTTTTTTAATTTTGGCTTATAAACATCTTTTATGATGACAACTAACCCCTGACACTTTGGAGTTGATTGACCTTTATTTCTTAAAGTTATAAGGGGGGAACAAATTTTAGCAGGCCACCTGCTATAATCTGTT